CTCTTGTGAGTCCAATGCTCGTCAGAGAGCATTAGTAAAGGGCTAGTCCAATTCTAGACCCTTAGGGACCGTCTACGCGTTAGATCATGATTGTGTGATAAAATCACTTCATCTCATGCATATTTCTCATTTTTTAGGGCTTTACCATGTTGCATGACACTTTCCTTATATGTATAGCCCTTTATCCCGTATTTCCCCTTATATATATATCCCTTACCCCTTGGTATGAAAACATTAGACTTGCATTCTCATTTAAGAATTAGAATTAGGTTAGATCATTTGCTTGATTAGATAGGAAAACTCCTTGGATATGAGATATGGACGAGTTTGGCTTCTCTAACCTTAGCACGCTCGTATTCCCTCTATTAAAGGGAACATTGAAAGACACGAGTATAGGTCCCCCACACCCATTATGATGCATTCCTTTAGGTCATACACATATGTATATTATTATTTTCTTTACTTTTTCTTTCTTTCGAGTCTCATGACTTGCATTATTCGTGACTTCTTCGAAGAGTCTTTATTGGGCGTCACAATTAAGGTGATTGGTACCAAGTAAGCTTTAAAGATACATTTTGACTCCCCGATACCCTCCTAGGTCTAGGGTTTACATTCAAATGTGATAAATCTTTAGGTTAAAATAAGAAAATCTTTGACTAAATCACGCAACTAGCATTGGTTAGGTCGAAAGGGTGTCTCGGATTTTTTTATCCTTGCCTTCCCTTTCTTCAAATGTGACTCCCGAACCTTTTTCTTTGATTTGCGTAGACTTGGAGTCGTTTAAAAAGGGTTTTTCCTATTTTTTTCTTTAAAAATTCATTTTTAGGTGACTTGGTACACCTTAACTCATTACCAAGTGGCGACTCCGATTTTATTTTCAAAAACCCTTTTTAAACTATAATTTGGGCCCAAATCGTCGCACTTTCAAACCCCATTTAGGCCCATTTTCCTTTTAAATCAAGAATCATATTTTCAATCAAAAATTCACTTTTTTAACCATTCATCTTATTTTATTTAAAAAAATGGGGCGCGACACTTGTTTTGGAAACATTTCTGGTAGAACACCTATTCAATAGATAAATTGTGCAAGAAAATACCTCTGTTCAAAAAGATTTTGGCATATTTTTCAATTTTAACATACGTCTCACCATATCTATAACTGTCATATTCTTCCTTTTGTCACTACATTTTGTTGTGGAATATACTTGGTAGTCAATTGATGTTGTATCCCATTTTTCTCAAGAAAATCATCACACACCAAATATTTCTAACCCCTGTTTGTTCTCAAAATTTTAATATGATAGCTATTTTGCCTCTCAACAAAAGTTTTAAAATTTTTTAAAGTATTAGAGGCATCAGATTTCTATTTAAAAAAGTACACCCACACTTTTCTACTAAAATCATCAATATGTAATAAAATACCTGCAACCACCATTAGAAGAAACCTCTATAGTGCACAAATTTGAATGAATAATTTTCAATGATCTTTTGGTCCTCTAGGATTTACCTGTCTGAAAGACATTCCCATGTTGTTTTTCCAAAATATGCATATCACAAATTCTACCAAGATTTCTAATACTAGACAACCCACCAACCATTCTTCTACTAGCCAAAAATATTCAACTGTCAAAATTTAAATGACCAAATGGCATATGCTATAACCAATTACTGTCATTTATCACCGTATTCAAATAGGAAAAATTAACAGTACTCAAATTCAGTGAAAATAAACCATTTAAAATCGTTGACACACTGATAATCATTTCAATATTTTTATCAAAAACTGTACAAGTACCATTTCTGATATGAATATCACACTTTTTTTAGACAACTGATCCATACTCAACAAATTATGGTACAACTTAGGAACATAGAAAACATCAGAAATGAAAATAGTAGACCTATTTTTCAGGCTGATAGGAATTTTTTCCTTGCCAAACACTGATAAAATAGTGTTATTCCCAAATTTAACTTCACTGCAGACAGATTCATCAATTTTAATAAATAATTTTTTCTTCCTAGACATATGGTTACTGTAGCATGTATCTAAATACCATTTATTTTTATCAACCACATCAATAGAATTACAAGCTAATAATAAATTCCCTATTTTTTTGTTATTATTCAGAACCTGATTGTCGCATCATTAGCCTAAAAATTCCTGCTTACATTTTCTCCGAATCTATATTCAAACTATTTATGGCCAAATTTTTCACAATTATAACATTAAATCCTCTGCTCAAAATTATTCTAAAAATTATTCTGATTAAAATTATTTCTTCTACCAAAATTACCACATCTGTCTCTACCAGGATCACCTCTAAAATTAAAATTAGTATCTTTACTGTGTCCAGGATTTGATATACCTCCTATGCCTCTATTATTGTTACCACGACCACCTTTGTTATTGTAAACACTTCTATTATTGCAGCCTGGATTCCTCTGACTAGATTCACCTCACTCCTTGACATTGCTATTGTTTCTCAAATTCAACTACAAATTACATCACTATTGTTTCTCAAATTCAATTGCATTTGCAATGCCTTCTCTACTGTATCATTGTCTAGGGTATCCTCCAACTTCCCATTAATTCTTTATTCATGCAGAATTAATCATCCCTGTAAATATTCAATATTCAAATTTTTTAAATCTTTTGCCTCCTAGATTAGCTACCACATGATCAAATTTCATAGGTAGGATGTTGAAAATTTTCTCAACAAATATTTTGATAGAAAGGTTGTACTGATTAAGTGGCATCTGTTTTTTAATATCTGACAAATGAGAATATATTGTACTGATATTATTTCCATAAAGTTAAGTGAATAATTTTATTTTCTGTTTGATTACATAATTTATTTGTGTATGAGTATGATAAAATGAAAGTAAGCCTTCTATTATTGTTTTATGTATGGGCAAATTATATTTTACCTCCATGTGGTTTAGTGTTTTTGTACATAACCCCTCCTATGGTTTCAAAAACTATACATAACCCCTTCAAGATTTATATTAAAGTGTCAAAGTGACAGAAATTATCATTCGTAACAGAACCTTTAAACATGTTGAAATTACCTTTGTTTAAAAATTAAAATAGTTAAAGTGATCAAAATATAAAAATATAAAATACATGACGCACTAAGCCCGCATGATTTTATATTTTACTATATAACCTGTTTATTATTTAATACTTTACTATATAATTCCCTTATAGTTTTCAAAATGCACACATAACCCTATGTGATTAATAAATAATTTTCAACTTTACATAGGGGGTATTTTTGATATGTTAGGTGAATCCGTTATTGATTGCAAATTCCGTTACTTTGAAACTTTAATTCAAACTATGTGGGGGTCATATATAGCTTTTGAAACTATATGTGAGTTATGTACAAAAACACTAAATCACAGGAGGGTAAAGTGTAAGTTGTCCTTTATACATTTATCATATATCTTTGCGCAAAATACACTTTACCCCCTATGGCATAGCTATTTTTCACATAACCCCTCTATAGTTTTAAAAATTATATATAACCTCCTTATAGTTTGGATTGACGTGTCAAAGTGACGAAAATTGTCATTCGTAGCGGAGCTTATGAAAATGTTGAAATTACCCTTGTTTAAAAAACTAAAATGATTGAAGTGATCAAAATATATAAACATAATATGTATAAAACTCTAACCCTGTATGGTTTTATGTTTTACTATATAACCCTCTTATGATTTACTATTTTACCATATAACCCCATTATATATATATATATATATGACTCTCCCTGTGGTTAATAAATAATTTTTAACTTTACATAGGGGTATTTTGGATATTTTAGTTGACTCCGTTATGGATTGTAAATTTCGTCACTTTGACACTTTAATCCAAATCATGAGAGAGTTATGCATAACTTTTGAAACCATACAGGGGTTATGTAGAAAAAAAAAATCACAGGGAGGTAAAGTATAATTTGCGCTATGTCTTTTTAAGTACAATAAATAGTACATTTTATACATATTAAAGTTACTACTTTTGTATTTATAAAGATTATTTTAGTTATTCATTGATAAAAGTCACCTATCGATTAAATCAGTGAGTCATTGACCCAGTCCATCTGTCGAGTTTCTCGCTCGGCCTGGTTTAACAAGTATGCCTAAAACACAATGAGTTTGTTTGGATAAGAGTTTATTTGGATGATTTATTTGAGATAATTACTGTAACACTTTTTATGATGTGATGTATATGAGATAAAAAGGTGATTGAAATTTGTGAGGCAAATTATTTTTTTGTCAAATTATCTCTATCCAAACACACTCAATGTGTTTTGATAGAGTATTATTTGAAATATTATTTGAAAAATTTATTGTAACACTTTTGTGATATGATGTATGTGAGATAAAAAGTAGGTGGGATTATAAAAAGGTGAGTTGAGAAATGTGTTTATGATGCAAGCGAAATATTATTTGAAATAATTTGGTAATCCAAACACACTAGCGCTATTTATGGGTTAATTACAATTTGCTTCCCTACGACTGTATTGGGACTGTGTCTACCGTGATTTAGCATCGAGTATCACTAATAAGTGCATCCTCTCAGTGTAGAGGGAACTCTCTCTCTTGGGATTAGAGCCTCCCTTTCCCAGTGGTGGGAACTTCAGCAATTTCAAACTTCTTCAAAAAACACATTTCCCGCGACTCATCATTCATGGAAAACAATCCAACTACATATCACAATAGGTCTGAATCCAACACAGAGTTAATACAGCACTATTATGAATGATAGTTCGTGGAAGATGTCCGACTAAAGAAAACACTAAGCATCATCAAGTGGTGGCCCAAGTTCACAAAGGGGTGTCCGACCAAAGGAAACACTACGCATCATAAATGCCATGGCCCTTGGTAAGCTAAAACTTGTCCTCTTGATGGCCCTAGTATCATCTTTCCTTGCTTTTGTCCTCTAAGGTAGTGTTGCTCTGGTAGTCTTTTTCTGGTTCTTTGTTTTTCTTTTTCTTCAGTTGGTGCTTGTGCAAGTCTTTCTCCATCTGGTTGACGTTATACTCTGGTTCCTTGTGGGATGGAAGGGTAATACTCTATAGAACCTCTGTCAGTATCTATGGAGGGTGAGTTGACTGAGCTGTTACAGAAATTTTCCGCTAGAAATGAGCTCGTTGGAGCGATGTTGAATCCGGAGGATCTTAACAGTGGAGTTAGAGAATGCGAAGGAAGCTTGATAGGCAGAATTATGGGGGAAAAAGTAGCCAACTTTACAGGGGTAAAGAACTTTGTTGCTGTTGCTTGGAGCTATCCCAAAAACTTGACTGTTATAGAACTAGGGCCCAATTTATACCAGTTTAACATCCCTAATTTGGAGGAGAGAGATAGGATTGTAGAAGGGGATCCGTGGGTGATAGATAACCAAGTGATGGTTCTTAGGAGGTGGTCAGAAGGGATTGAAGAAAATTATGGAGCTTTTGCTATAGCACCCTTGTGGGTGCAACTATGGAACTTGCCTGTACATTGGCTAACTAAAGAGGTGGGTAGGAAGATTGGTGTTATTTTTAAAGAAGTGAGAGAGCTTATTATACCTCAGACTGGGAGAAAAGAGGGTAGACATCTCAAAATCCTGGCCCTTGTAGACCTATCAGCACCTCTCCTTAGAGGTACAGTAGTTCAAACAGCAGGAACGTTTAAGTGGGTAGTGTAAGTATGAGAGGTGTCCAGACTTTTGTTATAATTGTGGAGTGGTAGGTCATAGTGAAAGATCTTGTAAAGAGCAGAGAGTTACGGAGGCTAGGCTCTCTGAGAACCAATATGGCCCCTGGATGAGAGCAGGTAGTATCAGAAGCCCTAGCAAGGAAAGACCTTTGAGAGTTGATCTGAACAAGGACAAAAGATATTGGAAATTTCAGGATGGAGAGCTGGTGGAGAGGGAGAGGAGCAGGACGCAAACAGGAGGTAGGCTTTTGGAGTTCCTTGAGAATGCAGATAAGGAAAATAGAGCTAAACAACCCCTGGATAAGGAAGGGGAGGTGAAGAGATTGGGGGTTCCAAATAGTAACACACCTAGGAAATTTGATGTTAGTACAGAAGAAAGAGGCTCTGATGATGGTTATCAGTAAAGGGTCCTGGGGAACCAGGGAACTTGCTTGAATGATCATGCCTCAATGGGAGAGAGGCAAAAGCCAGCAAGTGTGGAAGTGAGGGAGGAGGACATTGACATGTTACTACCAGGGATAGATCAAGCTGTCAGGATCCAGGATCATTGCGTTGGGGAGACAGACAGCCAGGAAGATCTTCTTACTAGTAGTAAGATCCAGGAGGCAGTTAAGAAACAGCTTAAGAGGTCCTTCAGGAAACTGAAGTCTCCTGGTGTTACTAGAAGGCCCTTAAAGGAGGTGTCTGACCAGGATCTTAACCTCATAGGGAATGGTAAAAGGAAGGTGTTGCTTTGTGATGAAGAGATGGAGGATTTGCAGCACCAACAACTAGTTTGTAAAAAGACCAAATCCATGTTGGAGTCTACCCAGATTGAGAGGGAGGGAAAGGAGGAGGGGCTCATCCTGAATGGGGCCCCCATGCAATTATGAGAGCCTTGGTGTGGAACTGTCAAGGAGTGGGGAGCCCCTTGACAGTTCCCCATCTGAGGGAGGTGAATAACTTCCTCTCTCCAAACCTGATCTTCTTAAGTGAAACCAAAAATAGAAAACTAGTAGTAGATAGGATAGCTAAGGGCCTGAGGTTTGATAATAGTGCAGTGGTGGAAGCTATGCATAAGGCTGGTGGGATGGCCTTGCTGTGGAAGGAAGACACTCAAGTGGTTGAAGTGTACCAAACTGCTTTTACCATTGAAGCCAAGATTGAGGATATGGAACTCAATTGTACTTGGTGGTTTATAGGTGTGTATGCGAGCTGTGATGCTCAAATCAGGAAGAATCAATGGGAGGTCCTTAAAGAGAGAAGCAGATTGTGGGGAAGTAGATTTATGATAGCGGGGGATTTCAATGATATTCTGTCTAATGAGGAAAAGTGGGGTGGTGTGGCTAGAGAGGAGAGGAGCTTTAGAGACTTTAAGGATTTTTTGGCTCATAATCATCTGATTGACATTGGGTTCGAGGGTCATCCTTGGACCTGGAGTAATCACTGGGATAATGATGGTGAGGTTAGGCAAAGACTGGACAGATGTTTAGGAAGTATTGAGTGGTACCAGACTTTTGATAAGGCTAGCTGTCAGCATATTGACACTTACGCCTCTGACCATAGTATCTTGTGTCTAAACACAAGTACAGGGGCGGAAAAAAAGAAGAAGAGGTTCTTTTTTGATAAAAGGTGGCTTCAAAGGGAAGAGGTGTACCAGGTAGTGGAAAGAGCTTGGCAAAAAGAGGAAGTTGGATCCCGTATTTTAAGGTTACTAGAAAGATTAGGAACTGCAGGATTGAACTTCTGAAAAGAAGAAATACTTGATAAGTGACTAATTTACGTAATAATTGTATGATATTTTATATTATTTTTAGTCACTTTAGTTATATTATTGGAAGAAAATGAATCATTTTGGCTATAATTGGTGAATAAATGTTTTTAAGTGATTAAATGAGGTTTTTATCACTTTTTACTTGGATTTTGTGTATTTTGACAGTTTTGACACATTTTCGTATTTCGGCTATAACTTGAGTTACAGTGATCGGATTAAGATGATTCTTGAACCAATTTGAAGATAAGAGATAGATCTATAACTTTGGTGAAGACATCTAAATCCAGTTTGAAGGTTTTCCAAGTCAAAAAGCCGAAGTACAGTAGCCAATTTCATTTGGTCGAAGCTGAAACAGGGCAATGAGCAGTCAAGGGTATTTCGGTCATTTCTCAGCCTACACAGATCCAAATGAGATGATTATTGATGCATTGGAAAGCTAACTCAAAGGGCTACAAGTTTCATGTTTTGGTCAAGAGCTAAATCAGCTTTTATCATCCAGAAAAATGCAGTTGAAATTGAGTCAAAATCGGAGCAGAGCTGGAAATTGAACCAGAAGTGACCAAATGGTCACTGTATCAATCCGGCCGGAATTTGGCCGGATTTAAGGCCGGATTTATGGCCGGATTGCGGTCAGAAAAGGCTGCTCTGTACGCGTAAAACTCAATTTCACTCCCACCAACTCACATGTGATGCTATACATGTGAGAAACATTCCCAGCTGTAAAAGGGAGATGTAATCCTCATTTCTTGACCACCTTTCATCATTAAAGAGCCAAATTCATTGCAAGAAGAATGGAAGGAGATTGGAGTCCATAGGAGAAAAAGGGAGAGTGAGCTACGGGAGAAAGCTGGAAGCTGCAGAAATGTAGTTCTTTCATCTCTCTAGTGTTAGTTTAGCTTAGTATAGAGTAGTGTAGCTTTTCCATTCTTGTTTATTATCTAGATTAGGATGAAGATGGAGGATGAAGAAGGCAAGGAAGAAAGCTCATGTGACAAGGGTTGTATTCCTTCCAAACTCTTTATCTTTTGTATTTGATTCCAAGTTTAGTTAATATACAAGTTCTGGATTTTGTGTTCATTATGTGTTTCTAAAGTTTATACCTTGGGTTTGGTTGAACTTTCTATGATTGTTAGTGTTAATTGTTTGGTTATTTGATTGCTACGATTTGAGCAAGTCATTTAGCACTTTGGCTCTTTAAATCATGATTAATCTGGTACCATTAATTGTGATTATCTAAGGTGTTGTTTCTGTAATGGAAATTGAGATTTAACACTGGTTCAAGAAGTGCTAAACATAGGGAGTACACTCACGAAAGTAGATGTGCATCTATGTGGTTTTTAGTGATTCATTTCATGTAATTTCATTGAAAAAATGAACTTGTAGCTAATTTCATAACCATGAGAATAGGTATGGATTAGTTATAAGTATAATTGATTCACTACGAAAGTAGAATTCAAATGCATAAGGAAATTACACCATAACTAGCCTAGATGTAGTAATTAATGATCCAAATATAGCACTTGCATGAGTAGTTAGGGATACCACAACCTAAGGAGTTTTCATTTGTTATTTTGTATAATTTCAGTAGGTTAAATTTGTTATAATTCATTGATAGTCTAAATAATAGAGAAGCTTTAGTAATACCGGTAATTGTTCACTCTTCCCTGTGGGATCGACCCGATATATACCCTAAACTACTAGTTGATCCGTATACTTGCAGTGAACGGGTGTAATTCGGTATTTTTTAGCTTGCACGTATGTAAAATACCCGTCAAGTTTTTTGGCGCCGTTGCCGGAGAAGATTTGGCAATATCGGTGTGAAGAGTAACTTTATTAGTTTAGACATATTATTAGTTATACTGTGAATGTTATTTTCTGTGTTTTATATGTGTATGTGTTTCATTACCTATTTTTCTTACTAATTTTGCTTTTGAGGTTGTTTAAAAGCAATTTTAGGTAATGAGAAGGGTAGGTCAATTTGGAGGACAATGCTTGAGAAGTGCAAGATTGGCAATGGATGGTTACCAAGTGCAAAGCTCCTTCAACAGAGGTAATCAAGAATTTACTGAATGTATGTCTTTTGAAGATGGTTTAAGGTGCTTAAAGGCTAAATTTGATGTTATGATGTTACAAGTTCAAATGGACACAATTATGCATGAAATTGAGCAAGGGAGGAATGTTAATGCTTTTAATTCTTATCATGTGATTTGTGACTTGTGTGGAGGTTATCATGCTACTAATACATGTATGCAAGTACAAAATGTGGATTATTATGATGAATTAGAGCATTACAATCCTTGTTTTGATCAATACAGTGCTAATTGGAGCAATTCTCCTGCTTATGGTTGGCAAAATCAATGTGCATATAGTGATTATCCGTATTTTTATGATTACCAACCTGAAAGTGTCCAATATGAATCAAAACCATCTTGGGAGTTGGCAATAGAGAAGTTAGCTAATGGACCTCTACCTTGGGAGTTAGAAAGTGAACCATTAGCTAATGATTCTAATGCATCTTGGGAGCTAGCTATAGAAAATTTTTCTAATCAATTTGATTTAGCAATAGAAAAGCTAGCAAATGCAACTTCCGATCGTTTTGATAGGATTGAGGAAAGAATTGATGAATTA